ACAATCAATTTTAGATCATTTTCATCACCCCAAAAGAAACCCCATGCCCATTAGCAGTCATTCCCTACCTCAGCTCCTATCCCTCACCCCTGGCCCTACCCACTGCCATCAAGTTGATTCATGAGTTGCTTCTGACTGATAGAGACCCTAGGGTCGCTATGAGTTGGAATGACCCCTGGGTCTAGGCAACCACTAATCTATTCTCTGTCTCTATGCATTTGCCTATGCTGGACCTTTGGGTAAACGGAATCATACAATATGTGGTCTTTTGTGATTGTATACTTTCATTCAGTATAATGTTTTCAAGGTTCATCCATGATGCAGCATGTATCAATATTTCATTCCTTTTCATGGTCAAATAATATTCCATTGAATGGATATATCACATTTTATTTATCCAGTCATCAGCTGATGGACACTTGGATTGTTTCTATTTTGGGGTTATTATGAATAATGCTGCTATGAACATTCACGTACAAGGTTTGTGTGGACACATAGTTTCATTTCTCTTGGGTATACACCTAGGAGTGGAATTGCTGGGCATATGCTAACTGAATGTTTAAATTTTTCATGAACTGCCATTTTTCCAAAGTGGCTGTACCATTTTATAATCCCACTAGTAGTGTTGGAGAATTTCAATTTCTCCACATCTTCCCAACACTTGCTATTGTCTGTCTTTTTTGTTATAGCCATCCTAGTGGCTGTGAAAGGAGCCCTGGCAGTGAAGTGGTTAAGTGCTTGGCTGCTAAACGAAAGATCAGTGGTTAGAACCCACCAGTCCCACCACGAGAGATGCAGCAGTCTGCTTCCAAAAAGATTACAGCACTGGAAACCCTACGGGCAGTTCTACTCTGTCCTACAGGGTTGCTGTGAGTTGGGATCGACTTGATGGCAATGTGTTAGTTGTTGTGAAGGAGTCCCCGGGTGGTGCAGACAGTTCTAAGTGTTGGACTACTGCCCAGAAGGTTGGCAATTCAAACCCACCCAAAGGTGCCTGGGAAGAAAGTCCTGGCGATCTACTTTAGAAAAATCAGCCACTGAAAACCCTACGGAGCACGGTCCTACTCTGACACACATCGGGACACCATGAGTCTGCATCTACTTGACAAAGCAACTGGTTTTATAACCTTATATGGAACTTGTTTGTAAATATATCTAAATTGTTTTAAATAAGAATATGAGTAAGATGCTCTGGCAATCCACTTCTTTTCCAACAGGTAATAATTCAACAATCCAACCTTTAAAACAAAACCCGTTGCCACCAAATCGATCCTGACTCATAGCAAACCTATAGGACAGAGAAGAACTGCCCCATAGGGCTTCCGAGGAGCGGCTGGTGGATTCCAACTGCCAACCTTTGGGTTAGCAGCTGAGCTCTAAACCACTGTGCCACCAGGGCTCCAAATCCAACCTTTAGGGTACTTTATAAAATATAGATACTAGGGCATAATGTGCAGCGTGTGGAGCACAGGAGGTGGTTTCATTTCTCTGGTTGAGAAGAGATCCTAACATAAATGCCAGGTACTCAGGATCGCGAGGGTCACGATTATTTCCAGAAAAATTTCCGGGGGTGGGGAGCATATTTTTGCAAACTGATATCACCTGAACGGATTTTCTGCTTTGTTTCATAACTCCTCTCACTCGCTGGGACTGGCCCGGAGATGGAAAAAGTTTAACAGGTGTTAACAGGGATGATTTGTGAACTTTCTGGAAGTCTCCGGCAGGATAGGACCCAAATTGAGGGCAAATGGGAACGGGGAAGAGAATCTCGCGACAGGAAGTTAGTTTGGGAGAGAAACTGGAGAAAGAAAAATGGAAAACCTTACCTTAGGATGAAAAATAGGCGCCCCTCACAGAGGCAGACCCTTGCTCACCCTGTCAAGTTCTACGTCTGGGCTTTAAGCAGCTTAGCCCTGCCCCCGCGTCTGCGCCGGCGCCGGCGCCGCTGTGAGTCGTACAGCTTCGGGAAGTTTCTTGATGAATGGTAGCTACTAGAGGAAAGCGACCTGTGGCACATCGTCTGTGGTACTAGCCAGTCACTCGCTAGGCTCTGCGCGGGCATAAGAAGAAAGGCGGGCGAATTCACAGCTTAGAGCCCTTGTCTTTGTTTTATCCTGAGACGCAGAGAGTCATCAGCACTCCTGCCGCCATCATCCCCAAAACAGAAGTTCTACTCGGGAATTTTAAGCTTCTTGGAAGGTGCCCCCGCCTGGGTTTTTTGTTTTGTTTTTATTAATCTAGAGACACTCAGAAATGCCATTCCTCTTTTGGCTTCCATATGAGGAATTACAAAGTTGAGTAATAAAGTTAACTTGAAGAAAGAAGGAAAACGAAAGGGAAAGTTTACACACACATGCTTACACGTGCACAGAATAATCTGGACCTATGAATGAGCAACTGCTGTGATTACCTCAGGGGAGAAGAAACCGGGTAGCTGAAGGGCAAGAGGCAGGGGGAGTGTTTAGGCATCAAGGAAGTTTGGAAATTTAAGAGGTTCCTGTAGAATTTAGTAATACTGGATAGAATTGTCTGTACGTGTAAGGATAAAACCTCTTGTGTAAACCTGCTTATTTCTGGACAAAGATCTTTGGAGGGGCAGTGGAACAGCCAGAGAGGAGCCAGGCATTTTTGGAAAATTATGGCAGGGGTGACATACAGGAACCTGAAACCTTTATCATCTCAATCATTGTATATTCCTTTTGAATTTGCTGAAAAAATGAAAAGGTAAATTTTAGGTGTGGGCTCACTAAAGTCAAACAGACTGAAAGGGGACATTGGATGTTTGTTTTTATGAAGGAAATTAATTGGGTGTGACTGGTAGGGTTGAAACCTGAAGTTCTTCTAGGTAAGAAAACTTCCCTTGGTGAGGAATTTTCAGGTTGATTATGGTATATTCCTGCCCCCAACTTTGTAAGATAACTTCAAGCTCCCTCCTCTAAGGGAAATGATGAGGAAAAATTTAGACAAGTGTCTTAGCTATCTAGTGCTGCTCTAACAGTAGTACCGCAAGTGAATGGCCTCAACAAAGAGAAGTTTATTCTCTCACAATCCAGTAGGCTACAAGTCCAAATTCAGAGCATCAGCTCCAGGAGAAGGCTTTCTCTTTCTGTTGGCTCTGGAGGAAGGTCCCTGTGATGCATCAGTCTTCCCCTGGTCTGGGAGCTTCTCTGCACAGGAACCTCA